AAATTCTCTCATTCTCTGTCAACTTTTCAACATCAAAACATCATTCTTGTACTTCATCACTTCAAAGAGAGAAAAACAAGTTAGAATTGTAGGTAAATATCATCCATTTCATCCGTCATTCCTTGCATTAATATTGTGTTTGAGTTGTAAAATAAACGTTGAATCCAAATATGCATCTTCATAAAAAGTTTGGCGTGGTCCAAATGTGCATATCCAAATTGTCTCGAAATTTTGAGTTTCATACTATTTTTCTTTTGTTGTTGGTATTAGATATGGTGAATTCGGATATGTTTCCCAAAGATATTGTGAGTGTGGGTCTTAAACCGGTCATAGTGAAGTATGACGTTAAACCAAATGAAGTGAATGATGATGTAAAACTGGATGAAGCGAATGATGATGTTAAACTGTGTGCTCGATCGATTGTTGTCGAGGTAGATGTCCGTGCACGTTTATAAATAAAGAAGTATTTATTGTTCATGAGAATATGCTACAATAGGCCCGTAGGCAGGCCGGAAAATTGGGGTTTGCCATTGTAATCGGAAGGTCCAACATTGGTTTGCAAAATAAGTGAGACGTACGAACCAAGGATTAGGAAGTTAGAACATGGTGACAAGGGATCGAAGAAATGTGAGTGTCTGTTTAAATTGCATGAATATTGTATGGCGGTTGAGACATGAAAATTTAATGTGATTTTGGATATACATAATCATGTATTGACTAACAAACTTTCTAGTTATCTCATTGTATGTCGCTTTGTTTTGAATGAGAGGGAACTTATTTCAGACATGACATTAAACATGGTGGCGCCAAAAAATATACTCGCATATTTGAAACTAAAAAAACCTCTAAATGTTTCAAATAGCAAGCAAATATACATCGTGCATACTCGAGACAACAAGGAGGTATGAGAACCAAGATCTGAGATGTAACAATTGTTAAAGCTTTAGAATATGACAACTATGTCTCGAGGTACAGAGTCTGTGAGGATAAAGTCATCGTTCAAGATATATTTTGGAGTCATCCTGATTCTGCGAAGTTGTTCAACATTTTTCCCTTTGTGCTTATAATTGACTCAACATACAAAACAAATAAGTATAGATTTCCACTATTGAAAATTGTTGGTGTTACTTCTGCGGAGATAACTTATTCAGTTGGTTTTGAATTTTTGAAATCTGAAAAAGAGGACAACATTACATGGACTTCGAAAATATGCAAGACTATATTGAAGGACCAAGAAAACATGCCACAAGTCATAATCATTGATCGTGACACTACACCGATGAATTCGATTGTAACCGTGTTTCCTACATCGTCCACATTACTTTGTAAGTAATCACATAACCAAAAAAGTGAGAAGTCGAGTAAAACCTGCGGTTGGAACCAAACAAATCAAGGGTGAAAATGGAGAAATGGTCAAACCCGGTGTGATGGTAGAAAAGATAATAGATGCATGAAATGGTATAATAAACTCTTCCACGAAGGAATTATATGTCATTTCTACATTTTAGAAGTGTGGTGTGCGAGATATCTAGATTTGCTAAAATATGTTGAGGGCACGATTATGGATCAGGTTAAAGAGAAGATGGTTTGTGCATAGACCGATCAAGTTCAACACTTTGGCAATACAACAACTAACAGAGTTTAATCTGCATATGCTAGACTGAAGAATTGGTTAGGAAACAGTAAATGTGATTTTTGTCGAGATTGGAACATTGTTAACCAAATGCTTCGAAACCAACATAACGAGATATCGACATCTTTTGGTCGAAGCGTAGGAAATCATACACAAATTTATATGAAAACAAAGCAAATTACGATGCAATTCTCAATACACTAGTTCCTTGTCTTACGGGTACAACTCCATTTGAAAAATAGATGCGCTTTCCGGAAATGAGACACCTTATAAACATTCTTTTCATTTAGGAGTGAGTCACCTCAAAGTCCATCGGAATGCATCATGTGTATAGGTTGGCTATCAAAAACACAATATTTGTTCAGGTTTATTTGAAATCAGAAAGTCCTATATCAAAGACATCACTAGAGTGGACGTTAAATTTCACACAAGATGTTGAAACTTGGTCGGATCACTTTTTAGAAATGGTGGAAGAGTTCGCCAAGTTGAGCGACATTGAAAGAGAAGCGAATAGGGAAAGATCAAAGAATAAACCACCAATAGATTTAGGCAGTGGCATATGTTTTGATGCATTTTAGTTGTAATCTAACAATGTGACATATTTTTTATATATAATGCAGTGCATAATGTTATAAAATTGGGTAGTATTTTTTAAAATATTTTTGTATTGTAATAATGTTTATGTGGTTCTAGATATACATCTTCGAACACACCTACTAATTATTTTTTAAAAATATAACACATAGGCTCATTTGGAGAAGCATCTCTAAATAAACCCTTATTTTTTGAAAAAAGGGCGGATCCAAATATGCGTCTCTGAATTTTGTCCTAATGATATGATAGGGTTTGTAAGATCCTTATTGATCTACAACTTCTATAAATAGTGTCTCTCATTCTATTTTTTTTACAAAAATCAGAATGAATCCCTATCTACATCTTGCACTTATGTATTTCAATGGAGCAAATCTCTCACTTCAATTTAGGGTCTTCGAGGGCATACTTCTCGTCGATATGAAATCAAAAATGAATACTCTCTTAAAATATCCAGAAATTTAGAGAGGTGTCAAGCTCGAGTACCATTCACCCACAATTGACAACAAAGAAAAATATAGTTCATCATGCTTGAATTGAAGACAGGTGATGATTTGAAAGTTATGTGGAATATCTTTTACCGTTACTCAACAAATGGTTCGACTGAAGTGGATGCGATGACTCGAAGATTAGCCGAAGATATTACAAGAATGTTGCAACGTCCTAAACCACCTGTTTGTAATGACATATAATATTAAATTTATATAATATTTATCTATATAATGTTTATTTTGATTTAATTTATGATGGTTTTACATTCTACCATTATTGTTTGTAGGGGTGTTCAAATAAACCGGTTATTTAAATAATCCATATCCATATCCAAATCCGGTTATTAAAAACCGGTTAATTATTAGTATGGATTTAACCAAATCCATATTTTGGATATATTTTTAATATGGTTTTAACCAAATCCATAATTTGGACATCCATATCCAAAATAAAAACCAAATTAGTTAATTTTTTTTAATTAAAAAAAAACTTTAAAAATTTTTCTCAAAAAATTTTTTTATTAATTATGAAAAAAAATTAATACGGTATTTCCAAAATTATTGGTAACTAGGTTTTAATTATCTTTCTCCTCTGCTTACATAATGTCCATTGTATTTTTTTAATGAGATATTTATTGTAATCTGCATTATTTTATTAAAAATAACGTTATCAAGATATAGATAGGAGAATTAAAACTAAGATGAAAAATATATACTTATAAAATATTATAGTGAATTAAAAGAATAGTAAAATTAATTGCTACCATGTATATGTTTTTTCTTCTCCTTGCCATATACTTGGATACTACTTTAACACTCAGAAATTAATTCTAAAAAAATAGGTTTTGGTTACTCTTGAATACCGAAATTGTAAACAATATCTTAAATTATACTTAATAACTAAAACATATAAAATATTATTGATATTGTGTCATCAATGACTTACTTTAAGAGAAAAATTAATTAATTATAAATTTAAAATATAAAACTAAACTGATATTTTTTAAATATGGAAATGAATTTGATGAAATGATATATATTAATAGTTAAATTGAATCATTCAATTAACTAACTTTTCATTTAATAATGAATGAATTGAATGAACTTTTCATTCATGAATTTTAACAATAGTAATTATGAATTTAAACAATAGTAATTATGATTTTGAATATTTAGAGATAAAAAATTATGAATTTAAAAAAAAATAGTTATTTTAACAATATTATGATTTCGAAAAAATTAATTTTAAAATAAAATTAAATCAAAACTAATTATAAAATTGGTTATGGATATAACCGGTTTATAACCATTTTAAAAAATAAAAACCGGTTATGAGAATTGGTTTTAATAACCGGTTGTAATATATAGATTATTTATGGTTATGGATTGGTTTTGAACATTAACCATCCATGACCACCCCTAATTGTTTGTTCCGGTTTTGAACTAAGAAAGCATATTTCGGAGATACATCTCGGAAAAGTTTACAGACTAATGAACTAAGAGGAGTTACAAAGATACATCTCTAAATCCACTTATTGTTCGTACTCAGATGCATCTCCGGATCAAATTTAAATAAAATAAGAATTTCTCGAAATTTTCATCTAAGGTGTTCGGACACCGGGGACATTTGCGTCTTTTCACGGTGGGAGGAAGACAAGGGTGAAAAGTGCAACCCTCTAAAAATTAATGAGATTACCCAATAAACCTGGTCTTTAGATGATCTACAGTACCATTTTTCAATTAGCTAAAAAAAGAAACACCAAATTCAATGTCGTGCACATGCACAACAATATTACTTCTCCCGTATCACATGTAAGATAGTATTGTTGTACTAAGATTTACATTGGATACTTCCAAAATGAGAGTTATCACAGGAAGCATCATTTAAATAAATTGAAGATTAGAGCACAAGGCTTAAGATGCAGAGGTATCATTGGGAGAAACAGAAAAAATTCCCATGACATACAAACATCGTGAGATTTATGGAGTATACAAAGGGAGCTTCGAATAGTAAAACTCTGGCATCTTTCCTTCACAAGCAAGATTATGTGCCTTAAAAAGTAGTCCTGTAAGTGTCTACTCTCAATTCAGACACCAGGATATGCCACAATCTGTTGTAAATAGCATCAGTTCAGGGAAAAGTGAATCAGGAGAATGATATTGATTGCTCATACCATTTATTTGTTAGTTTGCAAGTTGCAGCCTCTTTTGTGTGCATATGAAACCATTTTCTATCGCAAGCAATGTCATTCTCAGTTTTCCTTGGAAATATTTAGCTCTCAATTTTATGCCTCTTCACCAACCAAACTACTTTCATCTTTGCTAGAGACACTACTGACTGCTTTATTGCTGCTCTTCTTGATCTCGTCTTTGTTCGCGACAGGCTTCTCCTGGGAAGGGCTTACCGATCTCCTGCTAAACTTTTTTGATGGAAGTGCGGAATTGTCCTCTGAACTTCTTTTAGATGAGGCTGTGCCCTTGGGTGTGTTAACCTTATCATTAGGCTGTTCAATTTTCTCTTCAAATAAACCAGCATTTGCCGGGCTGCTTACTTCTTCCAATGAACTCTTATCAGTTGATTTTGATTTGTCTGAATCTGCATCTGGAAGCAATGCTCGGTAACTAAGACGCAGCTGTCCCTTTTCATTTATCTACAGCATATAGTTAAAATCCATTAGAAAGAATGCATGCCATGAGATTCGGTTAAATCAAATATTAGAAAACAAGAATACAATGTCAATCAGATATAAAATATGTTCGGATTTGCATTGAAATGGCTTGAACCTCCATTGCTAGTGTTAAACATGATTTGCCTCATAATTTTACACAATTCAAAACAAAGCATATGAAGCAGGAAGTATCAATTCAATAACATGGAATTGACTTGACTGGATGCAATATTACTAATTTTGGCAAGTTCAAGTGATAAGAAAGAATCTCAGAACAATATTATAAAAAAAACTTCACATGGGCCTATTTAAAGACAAAGAACCAATCTTATAAAGAAGACTGTTTGCATCAGCTTCGTCCCCACTTCAGAGAATGGAAAAGAAAAGGTGAAAACCAAACAAAGAGATGTTTGCAGTTTGGTTTGGAGACAGAGTCATACAATCCAAAGACTAAAAACACATGTTGTTTGGTCGATTTGGATTGCTTCCTTGAATGAAATCGATCCAATCTAATTAAGTGCAGTTTGAATTGAAACATCTGATTTGGTTTTGACTATGCATAATTACAGATTTATACATCAACATATATAACAATTAACATACTAAAAGATAATATTATAAAGGAAGTATCAATTATGTTCGGAATGCATGCAATATTATTATGAAATAATCCATAAAAAAAATATATATTAATACTACATGTCGTACTAATAATAAAATAAGTAACTATCAAACTTTATATATGAAGCTGGACTCAGTCTTTTTTTTTTCTTTTAAAAACCATGAATTTTGATCCGAGTGGTTTTCACCAAAAGAGGCCCCAAAACACATCTAACAAAAATCAGCTTTGTTCAGTTTTCGGTAATTATTTTTGGATAGGTTTATGGTTTTTCGAATCATTAGATGTAAACACCCAGCTTATGGCAGGATACATATTTTAGGGGTAACAAAACAAAGTTAAGAAGAAAATAACAATAAATATAGTGAAGGTGATTGTTTACCTAATCTCAACAGTAGCAAACAATCTTGTATGGTAACAAAAATTAAGTAAAGATAACCACTGTTTAAACATTTCACCTTTTAATATAAGTTGTTAACACAAAATGAAAGTGGTTAATTCAATAATTTCAATTACTAAATGCTTAGCTTCAGTAGTAAATGAAATCATTTGATAACCCGTTAATAAATGTTTGTTAACTTATACATAGACTAAATTAATTTATTAAACACAAATGTAGTTAAAATAATTATCCACGTAATTCATCCAAAACAACTTATCAAATAACGACCATCTCGCTACAGGCTATATAAACTACTACCCCACTTTTGGGGTCAGCAGAGCTCAGACCTGCTGTCTGGAATTGACTGCCTAAAAGAACTGTACTACAAATCTGGGTACTTCGGGACCACTGATATGTTCAACGTGATTTAAAGCAAACAAAAAGTAAAATGACATACCTCTGTAAGTTTTACATCAATTTTATCTCCAACCTTGAAAACCTGGGAAAATTTAAGTCAGATAGTATCCTACCATTTTTCGGGTACAAGGACATTTGTGTTCTTTAAAAAAGGAATCAAGATAAAATTCTTACATCTTCTGCCTTAGCTAGCCAACCTGAACTCAGTTCACTAATATGGCAAAGTCCCTATATAAAATGAGAAGAAATATCCAAATATTAGTTACAAAGTTTGGATCCATCATTCTAGAGAAGATTTACCTTTTTTCTTTAAAACATTTTAAAGTATTATCAAATGAAATGATACAAAAAAGAAAGTCAAATACATGCATTTTTCTGATCATCTGAGTAATTATAAACACGAGAATAATAAATATTAGCTCTAAAACATTTATAAAACCTGAAGAAACAACTATAATTTTAAGACTTCTTTTGACAGCTAGGAGAAAATATGTACCTCTCGTCCAGGCGATATCTCTACAAAAACTCCATATGGAAGTATTGATTTGATTTCACAATTCCTGAGGTATGCAAGAAAGAAATCAGATATAGTTGTGTTAAGTAGTTTTGCAAAAAAAGAAGAAAAAAAAGTACTTTTATTTTTATTCAGGACAAATTCGTTCAGACAAAGAAAAAGGGGAGAGATACCATTCATGGCAATACAAAAACAACACAACAATATAATTAACTAGTGAAGAGATTATTATATGTTCAAGAGACTAAAAGTCTATCTCTCAAGTAATTCACAACTAACTTTAGTCACATTCCAGTTCGTATTAGAGCTTACATCTCGTGGGACTATTACCCAATCTTTTATGAAAGAGCAATCCTAATCAGCTTGAGAGTGTTTACTCGCGAAATTTGACGATAGTGTAACACTAACCATACATGAGTGAAGTGGTCAAATAGAAAATGAGTTTCAAGCCCTGTTCCTCTCAAATTACAAATCAATAGCTCGTTCATCTTTGCTTTTGTATATATGATTTTCATAACATCGAGTCCACCTACCTCCCAATTTCATAAATCCAATATATATCCTAACTCAGTAACAGACAGAAGTTGAACACTGAGTCTCTCACAAATGTTTCACTCTTTAGGGATACTTTGAACACTGAATCACTCACAAATGTTTCACTCTTAAGGAATACTTCAAAAAATTTACACATTAAAGTTATTTTTTTTAAGCTCACTTGCTTATACCATTGAAAATAGTCATGTCAGTTAAAGCAACAGTCCGATATAAACATAAGAACAAAGAAATTACTCATATATTACCAATAGTTGGAACCGAGTAACATGTCAATATAAGCAGAAGAATAAAGGGATATTTACCTATATATATCACCAACATTTGGAACCATTGTCAAACTACTAATGATAGCCTTAGACTTCTCTAAACTAGCCAAATCTTTTGCAAATATTCTCACCTTCAATAGCCACAGAAACATTAATCATTATCTACAGAAATATATATCAACAAAAAAGTACTGTAATAGTCAGAGAAAATAAGCTGATTGCTGACATACAGTGCCATTATCTTCGGTATCAATAGCCTCTACTCCAGATTGCTCAATAATGCTCTTCACTTTTTTCCCACCGGAGCCAATTATAAGATTTACTTTATCCGATCTGACCTAAATTTTTTATAGATATAAGAAAGAGATGTCATGTGTTGTAGATCAAAATACTAGGATAAGGAAATAAAATGTGCGACTGAATGAAAAAAACTGAGAAAAGAAGTAAAATAACAAACAGACCTTCATAATGTGAATCAAAGGAGCATATGGGGAAAGCCTTTTGGCTGGAGGGGGCAAGCTTTTCATCATTTCTCCTAGATTAGGTAATAAAAAATATCAGCAAAAAAATACAAATTATTCCTGATTTTTAACTTAAAACTTCAAAAATTCAGATAAGAAAAACAGATCAAACTTTCCCCTCCTTAATTAATCTTCTCTCAACTTTAATTACCTCTCATGACTATCCATTTTTCTATGACAAGAATCAAATTTTCCCCTACTTAATTACTTTCCTCTCAACTTTTAATAGTGTCTTCTCTCTCCCATGTACTTTGTGATGCACCCATTTAATATTCTCTCACGATTGCCATTTTTTAAGATAGGTTTCTTTTTCTGATAATTCCTTTACTAATTATTAAATTTTGCAAATTCAATTGGTTTTTGTTAGACAATGATTTAACTAATGGCTAGTTTTAATTTTAAATGTCATTCATATATGTATCTTAAACATATCCTATATTTTTCAATGACTGACGTATCGTCGTATCGGATATGTATCATATCGGATGTGTATCGTATCCGATACTTGTATTGTGTCTGTGCTTCATTGCTTGCAAAACAAGCTTGAGTTTATACATAAATATCATTGTGACTATCAGATCAAACAGAAGCAAATGATTAGCAAAATTCACATATTTTTGGATCAATTCTCTTTTGATTCTTCTTCTAGGTTCTCGTATGTGTTTGGTTTCATGGTTAGAGTATAGGAACTGATTTTGCTTTATGTCAAACGTAAGTTTAGTGAAAATAAAGGTGTTTGGTAATAATCAGGAATAATTGATTGTCTCTGTATCTCACTTTAACTAGAAATGATAAAAAGTAGCTTTTGATTGGCTTGAAAAACATACACTAGGTTTTGTTTCAATCATGCTTTTGAGTAAAAACATTCAATTATAAATCACTTCACTTCAAACTCAATTATAAGTAAATCAATTTTACAGTATGAATGTACTTGTAATCATCTTTTTTAAAACATTCACCCAAATACACAGTTACACACCTAATGAGTTCAACTTTGAACTTACCAAGTATATGCTTCCTGCCGTCTCTTGCCTGTAGCAGTGCTTCTCTCATTATGGGCAAAGTAATTCCAGCAACCTGTAATGCCAATACATTAATAGCCCTTAGAGAACAATATTATATTAAAAGATAGATACCAAAAACAAGAGAAAATTATTACTTACTCAGGAGAAAATAACTACTAGAAGCCTATTAATAAATGATTTACCTTAAAGAGAAAATAAGCAGTTTTTCGTAATTCAAACAAACAAGAAAAAAGGAAATAAACATGTCAAGACATTACTAGTAGCATAAAAAATGTTTATACTACTTAACCTTAATGTCCATCTGAAATGCAGTTATGCCATCTTCATTCCCAGCAACCTGCATTATATCATTTTCATCATTTTTAGAAGATCCCTCTATTATACTAATATCATCATCTTGTTGATCAAATGTGGTTTGAAATAAGAAATCAGCTAGGGGCAGAAACCAAAAATAAGTGAAACAAAGGTGAAGGAGCAATATAGAGAATCGGCGGAGCTTACAGTTTTCGAGAACTTTGAGCTGGATAAAACTAACAAAACTGTTTAATATTTATAATAAAGAATTAAACAGAGACCCAACTACTTTATGTACAAAATAGTAAGGCCAGTTAAACTAACAGCTGAACATAATGACATGCAAAAGCATCATCAGCATCAAAAAAATATAACAGCTGAATATAAATGACCAAACTATTACTCTAACATTTACCCTTCAAAACTCAGGGCATATGCATCAGTGAGAATTGACAACACCGCCCTAAACTTGTCTAGTAGTGACAAACAAACCAAGAGCAAAGGATTCCTGACTTGAAGAATGGGTATCGAGCCATGGGTCCAAACATACATCGAAAGTGCTACAGAAAAATGGCATATTTGTGAAGACATGGGACATACTCAAATAGTCAGTGAAGAAGCTTAATAGATGGCCATAGCATTTGTGAATTGTGAGAGCTTATTTAGTTGAAACATTTTTTTAGCAAGCTTCAGTTCTATGAGATTGTGCAAATGATAGTGTTGACATTTGTAAATATATAGTGTTGATATTTGTAAATATATATAGTGTTAAGAATATTTGTATATAGAATAGTCCCACATCCATTATATCATGTACTTAGTTGTAATCTATTTATATATAATAAATGCCTCTTAGTCTCTTGTATTTTAACATGGTATCAGAGCCTACTAAGAGGCAATTCTTTGTTCGCCGTGTTTTACCCGGTTGACCCACTGTGTTCCGTTGAGAAATTTTTTTTAATTTCTTTTTTGCAAATTGTGTTGTCACTCCGGCTTGCCTCACTTTTCAAAATTCTCCGGTGAGTCGTGCCAAATTACATAAGTTGGTGTCAAATTTATCGAAAGTATCTAATTTACATTGTGAGTCGTGCCAGTTCGGGAAACACACGTAGTCAATTCTCCAATCGAGTCAACAAACGAGCTTCGGCCCCTTTTGCTTTAGTTCACACCGATGTTTGGGGTCCCTCGCGTAATGTCTCTACTCTTGAGTCTAAGTATTTTGTCACCTTTATTGATGATTTTTCACGTTGCACGTGGTTATTTTTAATGAAGAATAAATCTGAATTGTTTTCTATTTTTGAACAATTTTATCGAGAAATAAGAACCCAATTTGGTTTGTCTATTCGTACCTTAAGAAGTGAAATGCACATGAATATTTATCCCAACAATTTCAAACATTTATGTCATCCAATGGTATTTTGTACCAAACATCTTACCCTCATACACCCCAACAAAACGGGGTAGCCGAACGCAAAAATTGGCACCTTGTAGAAACCACTCGAACCCTACTTCACCATGGTAATGTTCCTCTTCGGTTTTGGGGAGATGCGGTGCTCACGGCATGTTACCTCATAAATCGCATGCCCTCATCTGTCCTTAATAATAACATTCCTCATTCAATCTTGTTTCCAAACTCTCCACTCCACCCAATTCCTCCTCGAGTCTTCGGGTCTACGTGCTTTATACACAATCTCTCCCCTAGTCTTGATAAACTATCAACTCGATCACTAAAGTGTGTCTTTCTTGGTTATCATCGTTCTTAAAAGGGTTATCGTTGCTACTCACATACTCTACAACGATACCTTGTATCAGCCGATGTTACCTTCTTCGAGTTTGTTCCATATTTAGAGTCCAGCCAAGTAACTACGGAACCTCTACATGAAAGTATTCCCACACCTCTTCCAGAAGTCCCATCTGTCATTATCCCCCATCCCTGACCCACTAGATACCCCTACGCTTAAATGCTAGACTAGACGATACTCTTATGGATCCAAGTGTTAAACTACTACCCAATCAGGGGAGCCTCTATCTGACTCAGGAAGGTATAGGAGATTGGTTGAAAAGTTGAATTATCTCACAGTCACTCGTCCGGACATTTCTTTTGCGGTCAGTGTGGTAAGCCAGTTCTTAAATTCCCCTTGTCAGGAACACATAGATGATGTTATCCGGAATTTGAGATACATCAAATGTGCTATAGAAAAAGGTCTTGTGTATGAGGATAAAGGACATAACCAGATAATTGGATACTCCGATGCTGATTGGGCAGGGTCACCCATTGATAGACGATCCACCTCTGGATATTGTGTACTTGTTGGAGGAAACTTTATATCCTAGAAAAGTAAGAAACAAAATGTAGTTGCAAGATCAAGCGCCGAGGCAGAGTATAGGGTCATGGCAATGGCAACATGTGAACTTATTTGGTTAAAACAGTTGCTCAAGAAACTTCAAATTGAAGAAGTAAGACCAATGACACTTATTTGTGGTAATCAAGCTGCATTGCACATTGCTTCAAATCCAGTCTTCCATGAGAAGACCAAAAATATTAAGATAGACTGTCACTTTGTCAGAGAGAAGATCGAGTCAGGCGACATCGTCACAAGCTTTGTCAACTCTAATGATCAATTGGCAAATGTGTTCATAAAATCCCTACGAAGTCCCAGAACTAATTATATATGTAACAAGCTTGGTGCATTTGACTTATATGCTCAAACTTGAGGGGGAGTGTTGATATTTGTAAATATATATAGTGTTAAGAATATTTGTATATAGAATAGTCTCACATCGATTATATCATGTACTTAATTGTAATCTATCTATATATAATAATGTCTCCGTAGTGCTTTTCAAAACACACAGTTTATTTAAGTGTCTCTTAGTCTCTTGTATTTTAAGAGATACTAATATGTGAAAAACAAGCCTCATAGCATATTGTCTCTAATCTTATTTTGCATGAGAGAATCAAATATATTGAAATTGATTGCCATTTCAGCAGGAGAAGATCGCATCATGAAACACTAGAACAGGCTTTTTCAACTTTTTCAACTTTAATGATCAGCTAGCAAATGCTTTCACCAAACCCTTAAGAGCTTCTCGAATCAATTATCATAGTAACAAAGCTCGGTGCATATGGTTTATATGCTCCAGCTTGTGGGGAGTGTTGAAAATATATTAGGATCTTCACATTTATTGGAAGGCATATTGTATCATATCATAAAATGTAAATAGGAATAATATCTCCTATATTCATATTTGTTGCCTTCACATTTATTGGATAGGCATATTGTATCATATCTTAAAATAAAAATAGGAACAATATTGTAAGGCATATTGTATCATTTCATAAAATGTAAATAGGAATAATATCTCCTACATTCATATTTGTTGCCTTCACATTTTTTGGATAGGCATATTGTATCATATCTTAAAATAAAAATAGGAACAATATCTCCTATATTTATTGTCTTGAACCTAAATAAATCTGACTGTTGTGTAGTTGAATCACAAGGTTTAGCCATCTCTTGCCTCTGTTTTCTCTTATTCAACAATATGTAGCTCATAAGCGTTGATTAATCCACCAAATTGTTGTTTCCAAAGCAAAAAGTTCTCATCACGACACGTGGATATATATGCTAAATGCAACAGGTGCGGAGAGGGAGTTCACAGAAGAGTTTGAGATCTAGAATTGATTAAGAGATGAAGCAAAATGGATTGATACCATCCTGAAAACCATGAACCAGCAAGAAAGCAAAAGCGAATGAGGGGCGGTGAGAGACAAAGCCAGCACTTTGTATTCCTGAAAACTGTACACAGAAAAATGAGAACATGGGCTTAAATGAAAAGCTAGCACATCAGTTGCCCAAGCCCATAGTGTGGTGAATTTATGTTTTAGGAAAAATAAGAGGAATGGAGAGAATGCAAATGAGGCAGAGAGTGAGGGTGGATTATTTATGTGATGAATCATGTTATACCTGTTAAGAGTCTCACATCGGACAATATATGGCATGAATATGTGTTTATAAGTGGGGGCAATCCTCACTCTACCAACCGGTTTTGTAGGGTTGAGTTAACCCCAACCACATTTCTTAACATGGTATCAGAGATTCGTTTAAGATCCGGTGAGCCACCATCTATGGTTTCCGCTATCGGGACCACCCACCATTTATTTCCACGCTTCAGTTGTCCAGTCCTGAGCGTGAGAGGATGTTAAGAGTCCCACATCGGACAATATAGGTATGAACATGTGTTTATAAGTGGGGACAATCCTCACTCTACCAACCGGTTTTGTAGAGTTGAGTTAGAACCAACCACATTTCTTAACAATACCGAGTCTGAGAGAGAGTAAGGGAGTATCTTGGAGAAACATTTTGGAGTTAGCTGTCGATGTGGGTAAAGAGCAATGTTTTCTGAAGGAGCTAAACTCTATGGAAAGTAGAATATTCATCTTTCTACAATTTGCTTTAATTTTAAGAAATAATGTATTCCTCGTTTTTCCATCATTGATCTAGTTTCTATGTTAATTACTATTATGCGAAGCGCTCGCAGCAAGAACAACACAAAATTAATCGTAAAGATTTTGTCATATCTATCGTTAGGAATAAAACTCGGATTCTCAGCTGATTCAGTTACAGTGAAGGCTGAGCATAACTGAACTGAGTATTACTCTAACAAATATAAATGAAGAAACCAAAAGTTAAAGAGAAATCCAACTTAACTCTTCAATTCACTTATTCAACCAAAAAATTATGAATAAATAGGTATCACAAGTTCAATTATGTAAATAAAAACCTTAAAATCCATATCCCCAGATGCATCTTCAGATCCAGTTATGTCAGACAGAATAAGCGGAGTTCCATCTCCACCAAATTCCTTGGTATCAAGAACCAAACCCATAGCAATTCCAGCAATTGAGCACTTAATAGGAACCCCAGCATCTTGCAATGCTAAGCAACCTCCACAAACAGAGGCCATGCTATAACAAAAGAGAAACATGTTAAATAACAGCCGTGTGTAAAAACACAATTCCTAAAACCCTAATAAGATCTTTAAAATTGCAAATTATTATACGAATGTGGAAACATGTTCGTGGCCTAACACATGAGATTTATTGTTTATAGTAGAATATTGATCACAAATAATTAAGGAATGCGACTTCATGTAGGACCTATCTGTATATATACTCACCTCGAAGAGCCATTGCTTTCTGTGATGGTACTTTCAACACGAATAGTGTAAGGGAATTCATTATCAGAAGGCAAAATTGTTTCAAGGGATCTCTCAGCAAGCATTCCGTGACCAATTTCTCTTCTACTCGGTGCACCAATACGGCCCGCCTCGCCAACACATGAAGGAGGAAACGAATACTGCCAATTTTCTTGAGTTAGTACCAACAATTTCATTTTGAAAATTTTACAAAATAAAATATAATAAACTTGTACATCCAAACAATTTTTTTCATACACAAACAGTCATAAATACATGTGTGGATGTACTTGTACATGCACACGCAGAATATTGTCCAAAAGAAAATGTTGCAGTAGCGGAAAAAAATGGAAGAAGTACAAAGAAACCTATGCACTGAACCAATCACCAGGCTAAATATTGAAATGCATGTATACAAGTCATGGAAGATCTTCATTGTGAATTTAGTTTTAATGAATAATCAAGTCGTGGAAGAACATAAGAAACAAAAAGATTTAGCTTTCAGATTGTAATTTGAGGAAAATTGTGAGCCCATGAGTTGCGTTCATATCACAAAAAAGAAACAGCCATATCAAATCGTGTTATAAATGAAGAAAAAACTCCTTGACTAATTATTTTACTATATTATGGAAAATAACTCCTTCAAAAAGATGAGACATTGTTTATATTAAATTACATAAAGGTTCAATAGAATTCTAATTCAAAATTTTCTATATATTTATTATCCCGGAAAAATGATCAAAATATGCTCTAATGAAACTAAGCATTTATTTCAATAACATAGAAACAGTTTTTTAAAACTTAGGTATTAAACAAACAAGAAAACTAAAGTATTGATCTAATAAGACCAACAGCACCAAATGGTTAAGTAGTTTCCATCATGGCCAGTTAACTAAAAATGGACACGGTCCCATTCTTCATCTGGCTACCCTATCCCCTAGGATTTCATTTTGATGGTACCATGTTATCTGCTCAGACTTACTGAATGACAGTGCAGTCGGTGTGTTTTTGTCTTGGTTCATGGCATCTAAAGATCTAACCAAAAACTGAACTTGACATACATAGGACTGGTTCACAAGTCAAGCAAACCAATCCAGTTGGGGTTTTCAACTACAACCACAAAAGCATAAGATAAAAGTAGTCAAAGTTCTAATGAGACCTGCAGATAGAACTTCTTATAATCATCATCTTCTATAAGATTGTCTACTCGTTGTGCCATCTTGTTATCTCCAAGCGTAGCAACAGCCAGTGCCTGCCAAACAGACAAAGCAGATTTACTACTCAAGATACAGAGATATGAACATCACTAGCAAAGTACTAACTAAATAAAAAGCAGATTTACTACTCAAGATACAGAGATATGAACATCACTAGCAAAGTACTAACTAAATAAAACAGAACAATATAAAACTATTAATGGTAAAAGAGAATTGTTATATGACTGCATGAGTATGAAGCCTGGATACACAGGACCACACAGAAATGATGATACAGGAAACTTTTGAAATTTATTATTCAATAGTAAACTTATATAGATACATATTAGTAAAAAAGGAGACATTCATCATTCCTCATTAATAGTAATTTATAATCTTCAAACAAGGACTAAAAACAATTTGTCAGTATACATGAATATGGCGAAGTATGAGAGTATATCCAAATTGTCCATAAAGATCATTTTTAAAAACAAATAAAGTTGAGATACTTTTGAGAAACATAACAAAATATACAAAGTGTCTGACACCACCAACCCTTTTCCTTGTTTAGACTGTATCCAGTCTTCTTAGCTGCATGCGCATATAAAGACAGCACCACAAAACATCAAAGCATAATTGGGGACAAGGAAAAGTCACCACAAACCTGTGTTTCGCCCCTCGTAAAAAGAGCGCTTCCATGTGCTCTAGGTAATATGCTACAACTTGAGTTGATTGGGCGGATTTCTTTTGGTGTTCTCCCATCACTCCTTTTCCCACCCTGAACATGCATAGAAAAGGAATTGATAAACAAGACTCTTTCAGTTTGGTAGATTCAATATTTACAAACAGCAACTCCCAGAAGACTCTCTTGGTGGAATAATTATTCCATTTGTGCTTCCACAAATGCCTGAGTAGATATGTTTACCTATATTATCATATCATTCTATAGGGTCCATACCTATTTCTTCTACTTTCTAGGGCGAGATCTTTACAGTCATGAAGAAAACAGAATTCTAAAAGACCATTTGATAAAGTCCCACTAAGACAGAAAATAAACCTGCTTATATAATTATGTTGGAATAGTATTTTATGTTAGGTGTCCATACCTCTACTATACGTTTCCTCAAAAACTTGGATGTAACTTCTTTAAATACCAACTTCACATCTACCTCAGAAAACTGTAAGAAGAAGAAGAAACAATATGTACAAGTTCAAAGGTAAAATAAAATGAAATCAAAACAACAGGCACTAAAGAGGGAAGGGCATAAACTGTACATTAATGATCAATCAAGTAGTTCCAATAACAAAGGAAGAAAGTAAACTAGCTCAAATGCATGAAAATAATTTAGAAAGAACATAATGTCTATTGCCAGCAAAAATTGACAAATAGTATGCATAAAACGGGAAAAGAAAATGTACAAACTTCTTTGGATGCTATTTAGGTTAGTGATAAATAAGTGAAGCACACATGAATGTAGATGCTATTAGTAAATCCTTTTAAGCCTACAAAGAAACTACAGGAAAAAAAAAAAAAAGAGAGAGAGAGAGAGAGAGAGAGAGAGATCAAAATTAGCTCATTCAAGAAACACTATATTTGCATGGCTAACCTAAACATGCTAATGAAACATACCAATGGGCGAAGAGAGCGCTGAGCTTATGATACCAATATTATGTTTCGCTTTATAATTGAAAAGAAGAAATGAAGACTGTGGGACTACATGAGTGGTGCTTACTAAAGGCGTTGGTTTGCGTGGAGTTGGCTTTATATGAACATCGCCTTCATCAACTTCACCATCAACAATTACTTCCTCATCCTCATCCTCAAGAATCTCTGCGATGGTTTCAGCATTACTCCTTGGTGCTGATTCATCAATGACAACCCCATTTTCTGTCAGTATCTTAAGAACCCTTTCTTCCAATGATGAAAGGGCTTTCCTTCTTGGTATTTTATTTCTAATTTGAAGAACTTTTACCAACTCATCACCAGCGATTTCCTGCATATTACCACTAACTTCAGTTTTTATCCTAACCACCATATTCAACAGAACTATTTAACAAAGCCTTCAATCATTAAGTTAAACATGATAGTCAAACAAGTCAATGCCAATTACTTTCATAAACACGTGCATGTAACAAACTGAATATATGCCAAAATGACTATAGAAAGGTTTCAACAGCAAAAAAAACCAGTAAATTTCACACCAAATTACATATCATGGCAAATTTCTGAAATTTTATAGGAAACATTATAAGGGTGTTTCTTGGGGAAATGAGGACTGAAATGAGAGTGAAGATACACAGCCACAGCATCATCAGCATCATGAAAGGCATAAATCTGACTAGATATGGAATAGAAGCAATGTACTTTTCCTCCCAGAAATTCTTTCCAGCAAAGGGTCCATTGACCAGCTTGATTCGAGGACAGTCATCTTTGGGCCCAGTAAGGAATATCACTGGTCCAACCAACTGTCGAATAGGAAAAACGAGAGGATAGAGCTCCAATTTACTAGACTAAAAACTTCAGAGCAATCGGTACAAATCCAGACAGAAATCAAGAAGTCCAGCAGCCGCCATATTAGGAATTTATTAGAAGAGGAGAGGGTAGATGTGTTCAATATGACAGACCATTTGATTACATGCAAATACACCCAGAAAAAAAGTGTAAGGGTTACAAGGCCGTTTGTTTTGACTTTTTTTTAAAATTATTTTTAGTGTTACATAATTTTATGTAAAAAAAATTTACAAAGAAACTTTTCATAAAAGCTTCAAATGAAAATTTGATTTGAATAGTTATTCTAAAAATGTTATTTTAGGTATTTCATCATTTTATTGAAACTTTTTTTGGATATCAAAATTTCAAAAAATCACTTACCTGGGAAGCTATTTCAAATAGTTTTTCATAAAATCATTTTTGAGATACAATTTTTTGAAAAAATTGCGATTTTCAATAATGTATGTTTATGTTATAGGATGTCAAAATTAGTCTTTCAATTTAGAAAAAACGAATATAAAAAAACTTGTAATATTTTGAAAAACGGTTTAATAAAATCTATTTTTAAAAATACGAAGAAAAAATGTACTTTTTAAAGCTAAAACAAACAAGCCGACAATCTTGTCGGAAAATGAACAAGTGGATGGAGACCGCGAGATTGTACAAAGGAAACAAATTGCAAGTAATACAGGAACTATGGGGAAGAGAATAACATCTCACATAGAGAATTTCATGAATCAGGGACACTTATGAAAAAGTTTATCATATAACAAACAAATGATAATGTAGGATAGCAAAGGGTTATACCTCAACATGTTTATAAAGCTCGGGAGGAGGCAACTTGATGGCATCAATCATCTTTGGCTTCCCACATTTCTTGACCAAGAGTTCTACCTCATTACAGATTGCTCGCACTGCATCCTGACAACGGACAATAGGAAAAAGATTAAGCATCAATGCAGAGCTGTTCATAAACAATCAAAGAAAACAAACAACACATAAAAATAAGAACATCAGCAACATAAACTGTAGTCTATATCAAACCCTTTATAATCCCTTAGGGAGGCAAGCAAATGGCTTACTCTTGTACCGATGAATAACCATATCACCTTTCTCTACTAAATATTTACAATGCTCAATGGCATAATAATCAATAGAAAGAGGAGTTATTTATAGGTCTTAATAATCGTTAAATATGTTTGGATCTCAACCCCCAAAAGCTAGCTTAAAGGGTGATGTTGCCCTCAAATATTTATATTCAACAGTCCGAGAACCTAAACAATGTGGGACTTCAAACAACAACACAACTATCAACTTCAACACTCACCCTCACGCCTAGCGTGGGCCTGGGTCAAATGCCTACATTACAGTCCTTAACCCGACTCTAATACCATGTTAAATATGTTTGGATCTCAACCCCAAAAACTATCTCAAAGGGTGAGGTTGTCCTCACATATTTATACATTCAATGATTAGCAATCCGGGAACCTAAGCAATATGGGACTTCAAACAACTCCAACAACACAACTATCAACTTCAATAATAATAATAACTTACTAAGATTTATGTTGAATAATGGCGGGAACTTTAACAATCATAATAATAATTTACTTGATTTATGTTGAATAATGGCGGGTTGAAATAACATCGTGAGATAATTTATTTTATATGGTAAATTTGCAGAGCCAGTAATATTTTAAGAACACGTGCATATGAATTTAGGGGACAAAAAGGAAATTCCTAATAATTAGTAAGCTTGTCTGCAAACTACGAGATGAAAAAGTGTCTGAAATATTTTTGTAAGATAATTCGGAAAGCGATTATATTTATAGACTACTTCTAACATAATTAAGGAATTACAAATCGCATCACATCAAATCTTTCCGAATTATGGAAACAAATCTCAACTAACTGTATTAGACAACACTACGATAATGTAACAACCTGACCAACTTCTACAGCTTTAAGTAGCTTCTCTTCAGGAAGAAAATTGCCATAACCCTGCAATAAAATTTTAAACCAGTTCATTTAGTATGTAAGTACAACTACAAAAGTTTGAAAAATCAAGAATGGAACTGGGAAGCTATTGTTTCCCCAGCACTTTATGTACCAACTTCAATGCAAATTCCAACAACTTGTCTTTGACAAGGCTGATAGTATGTGGTAATAGTTCATCTTTTGCAAAATACATGGAATTCTGGGTAGGAAAATTTGAGAATCTGTTTGTCCTACTAGTATGTACTTGATGTGGATGATTATCACTGGGTTTCAATTCGATCTTTAAATGTAAAAACTCTCATATTTGGTTGCACACAAAATTAGTTCTAAATTAAAGCCCTGGATAAATGTTGGAATTTAAAAATAGTAATTTTGGGTTTTTCCCGTTTTAGCATTTCCACCGCACTAAACCAAGGCATATAATGATACCAATGTACGATTTTCTTTTGAATTATAAATAACAATGATAGCCAACATCTTTTCTATTATCATATCCCTAACATGTTTTTGGCCACAAGCAAGTGATGTTAATACCTCTATCATCAATATTGCGCTATCTGTGCCCGCCAGCATGAGGTCCAACTCAGAGTTTTCCATCTCCTCAGTTGTAGGATTTACTATATACTTATCACCAATGAGGCCAACTCGAACTCCAGCAACTGCTTTTGACATAGGCACTTCTGAAAGTGCACTGCAGAATATATTTTATTAGGAATGACGGTGATACAGAGTGCCTCTGGGCATAGCTTCATGTATATGACCAAAGTACCTCAGACTTAGATATGTGTTTATCTATATGTTTGCATCTGTGAGATCATTGGGTTTATGTGCTTTATTTTGACATCTTTTACAAGATATCTTATCATCTTATCCTCTTTTCTACTTGTACTTCTTTCCTCTATTTACAAAACTCTTTTTAATTTTATATTTCAGTAAACAAAAGTACAGAATAGAGTATGAGAAATTTTTGTTAACATTTAAAAAGAAACAGATAGCATTGTGCATGGGGTCTAAATCCCCAGGGTTGGGACTTGGGAGCAAAATAAAATGACCAACTTACAGTGCTATACCAGCAGCTGTGATGGCCAAGGAATCGGGGGCATGTGATCCATCATAGCTTAAAACCTGTAAGAATAAATTCACGGCTGACAACATCATGCTAATTTTCCACAAGGTACATATGATTAAAAGCATAATAGAGTAAAGAAAGAATACAGCAAAATAAAAGAATCCTTTAGGCTAGTACAGCGGCGAATTGAAATAAACATTGCTAAGTTGTTATATCTCCTAGACTCCTGGCTATATCTCCCACTTGAATATCAAAAGGAAGCTATACATTTCCACCACCAGCCAATTTCTTTAGAAAATACTTCATCAACAATAAAACTTGTGGTATTTTCTAACATCAATTAAAAACCAACAAAAAAAGGGGGCAGGGGATCTCTATAACTATGTATGCATAATTTTTTTAAACAGCGGTGACCTTGAAGTTTAATTTAATAAATAATGAATAAATGTTGTTTTAATAAATTCAAAAAAAAAATATTGACTAACCAATTATTAGCTAATTACATATTTTTCATATTTCATACAATTAATTAAACAAGAAGTATTCAAATGTCCAATATGGAGATGATGCATATGATATTTTAAAATATTATAAAAATTATTAAGTCAAAATTAAATAAAAATAACTTTCTGGTTCCACTATTTTGCTTCACAGCCAATGTAATTAATCTGTTGCATTTTGCTTCACAGCCAATGTAATTAATCTGTTTCATTTTGCATTTATTTCATCATATAACTATAGGACACTGTCAAGCTACTACGTCAGTTTAATCCAAATAACATGTTATTGGTTGTCAAGCAAAATATTCTATAAAAGGAAATTGTAAGGACCATACCCAAGATAATATTTGAGTTTCATGGTAGAAGCCCTTAGGCATAGTAGGACGTAGAGGCCTATCAATCAATCTACAAATAAGAACCTACAAGAAACAGATGAGGATAAAAAATAAGGAAAAGAATTAAGAGCAAAAGCCTTTACCAGATAGCAAAAAAATTATTTGAGTAACATTTCTTCTTTTGTTCAAAAAGAGCTATTCAGATCTAACAAGGAAGACCCTCCCATGAAAAATAGACATCTTCAATTGAATTAGAGAAGTTAGAACAAATCCAAAGTAGTACCTCGTGATCCTTGGTTTTTCCTTCTCGTTTGAAGAAACCTCCACTACAAAACATAATAGAAAATCAGAAGAAAAAAATAAATAAATGATCGGAAGTATGTGTAAGACATACCTAGTACGACCAGCAGCTGAAAAGCGCTCTTGATAATTCACAGAAAGGGGGAAAAAATCGGATGGCTCACTAGGAGTATCATTCAAACAAACAGTGGTGTACAGAATCTGCAAGAATACAATGAAAATGTTTTTTGTCACGAATGAATTATCCCAAGAACTGAGCTATTGGGTGAAATCACATATGGTTTTAGGTTTGACAATACATGCCCACTATAAATGTCGTGTATCTTTGTTTTGAGTTCACTTGATTACTCTTGTAAGCTGTATTTAATGTTTCTTAGAGTTCGTTTAGATTGGGCTTAGGATTGAATATTGGTGCGTAGAAAAGTTCAGGTAGCCTTATAACAACACGCCTAAGACCAGAAATCCAGAGTGTTGACAAATGTGAGTGGCCTAGTAGTAGTAACACATCTGTCATAAACACTGATCCCTTTTTAGAATTTAGGCTGCAACTAACTCAACCCTAAAAACCAGTTTAAGAAGTGAGGATTGCACAAGCTTTATAAGGACTACATTGCCCATATCTCTAGTTGATGCGGAATCTCGGCAGTTAATTAGGCATTATGTATATAAATATCATTCAAATGAGTGTGTTAATTAACTTATGGTTCTATTAACAACGATTAGTTAGTTAGATAGTTGTTACCGACATTTCTGATAATTGTTTGAAAACAATTGGCTTATCATAGAAGCCAATGTGCCTACTAGGGTCTCTTGTCATTTCAACTACATCAGTTTGTGCTTCAAGTATCCAGTCATGAGCGTGAGGGAGGGCATTAAGAGTTTCATATCAACCTATGTTATTAAACTCAACCGGAACGGCCTCGGCACTGAACAACAAAACCAAGAAAACCACATCAGGTTGTGGCGTTCCATCACGGATGGGTGACTCGGCTAGCACGGCCGCAATAATGGGATTGGATTTGGAACAATGCCGGCGTCAGCCGCATATGATATTACCATACCCTTAAATTTTTAAGGATACCAAGATTATTTTTAGACTTTTATTTCTAAATATGAAAACTTCATAAATTTTGATTAACTAACGTTAGTTTTTAAGAATTATGTTTTCATTAGTATTAACTGTAATAGTGTCCACGTCACTATAATATCGGCCGTTCCACTCCCTGCTCCCGTTCCGTTCCAATTTGGAGATGGCTCCGTCCCGCTGCTATCCAAGATTGATAGCATAGATATCAACTAGAGATATGGCCAGGTGATGCATTTGGAACTTGTCAACTTTCAATATCAATATATGTTTCCTAACATGTATGATGGGGACCAGTATTTTATATTAACATTGAAATTGAGAAGAAACCAGTAGAACAATTTAAAAGGAAGATGACTGTGGAGCTATGCTCCTTACAAGATGAACAAATGAAAATTACAAACTAAAGAAACTATGACTACCCTTTCCTGAGGAAGAACCAACTTCTTCACTCAGCTTTTCCCCAATTTACTTTCACAATTATCTCGATACCCATTCTGTTAGACGCCCTCTTTTAATATACAATAGGCATGGACAAACATGGGTGTGATTAACATTGATCGTAAAATCACTTTCCTAAGCTGATACAATGGCCCTCACATAGAGTAATAAAGGTTTCCTTTTTAACACGATTATGATCCATATGACAATGTTCAAGGTAATGAATAAACTAATCAAAAGAAATATGGAAACTTACGGTCTCCCCATCCGTAACTGTAACAGAACCACTTGCTTGCCTTCCTATGTGACCAGTCTCAACCAAAATCTGCAGAATACCACATAAACTGTTATTAATAAGTGTCGTTTTTACTCTAATAACATACTTTTGCAACAATCACGCCCCAGGTACAACAATAATGTAAAATATGACTTTATAAAGATTTTCCAATTTCGAACAAAAATATCTCTAAGAAGCCAAAGGCATAATAATCTTCTTGACAAGCAATAGGAAGAAAAAAAGCTTAACCACAACACTAGAAAGATAAAACTATTGTTTCATCTCTGCACTTGTTTAGTTAGGAAGAATAAACATTATTACACACAACATGCAATTCAAAGCGCATGACTTGATTCAGTTTGGCAAGCTATTGATATTCATAGTATATGTTGAATAAAAAAGGCAAAATATCCTTTTTGGTCCCTTAACTACACATCGGGGATTCATTTTGGTCCCTTAACTTTAAAAAGGTCCATATTGGTCCCTTAACTCTTCAAAACATTCCAAATTAGTCATTTTTGTCTATTTAGCGACTGATTTTTGAATTTTTCCGTCACTAATAGGACAAAAAGGACTAATATGGAACGTTTTGAAGTCTTAAGGGACCAATATGAACCTTTTTAAAGTTAAGGGACCAAAATAAACCCCGAGATATAGTTAAGGGATCAAAAAGAGTATTTTGCCAATAAAAAATGCATTGCACTGTTCATTATATGTATGGCCCAGTATAATTCCATGTCACCAATATGAATTGCAAGATTCAACAATTTGTTTCATTTCATCATAACATGCCACAAGCATCAAAACTGGAGTATTATGATTTATGATAAATCATACAAAATCAAAAGGAAATAGAGAGAAACATCAGCCGGAGCTAAACATGAGCATATACATCTGCAAGTCGGCCAAGTTAACATGTAACTCACGTGAGTTGGGACAAAGCATATTGCATACCCATGTAAATGTGGGAAAGATCGGTTTAAACAGGTTGTAGTCCCGGTTAACTTACAAGCAGGCAAACCCACAGTATTTAGCTAATTTCTCAAATAAGAGTTATGTGAAGGAAGCATGAATACTTCTAAAATCTTTGACCATCATAATTCATAGAAAGAACCTTTCTTGGCACAAGATAGGTCAAATCATAATTTGTATTTCGTGATCACAAATCACACACGTTTTATGAGCACAACATGAGTAAGAATTCGTTCAAACCAGAAGTTAGCATTGTCATACACTCACCACTAATAACTTTTTCTAAATAGAGTTTTATCTGCACAACCATTAGATAGAAAGTTCTCATGAAGCAGAAGTGGATAAATATTGCACCACTTCATGCTAGAATTTAAAATAACCAAGTGGCATTTAATAAAAAAACAAAAGTCCCTTATTAAATTAAAGAAATAAATGACACAAACAAAAGTAATTAGTTATAAAACATAAACAAAATTCAAGCATAAATCACTTCACATTTCATAATCAAAACACGTGCAACAAAGCTGAAAACAAATGTATCCCTTCAAAACGAAGAAAAATACTTACATGTCTATCACCAACGGGAATCTTCACCGAATGCTTTTGCAGGGAACTATGCGGGACACCAACATCAATGGACTCCAAAACTTCTGATGATGAATTGACGGAAGATTTGACGTCGAAACGGCGGAAGCTATTCTTAACGGAAAAGAGCGAATTGAACTTTAATTTCCCGAAATTGACTACGCGAGGGAGGCGAGGGAAGAGAAGAGGCTTGGAGAGTAGGAATTTAGAAGGCTGGGATTGGCGGTGGAATGTGGCAGGGCCATGGAAGATGCTGTTAGTGCATGCTAGCATATTCTCCGTTAGGGTTTATGATTTTTGAGCGGTTGTTGCTGGTGGTGAGAGTGAGTGGTGGTGGTGAGAGTGAGTGGTGGTGGTGGTTGTGGAAATGAAGTTCAAGAGGGAAGAAATGGGAAGTACCGTTATCCGCTTCTGCAATTTGGTTCAGACGCGCGCAGAGTTTTGGGCCAAAACTATGGGCTTTTCTTATAGTTGCTACTTGCACCACTTTATCTAAACAATTTCTTATCGGACCCGATATACTTCTAGCGCACATAATTTTTAAATATATTTTCTGTTTTCGGAAATATATCTTTAGACGTATCTTTTGTATATTCAACAAAAACAATTCTAACAGACGCCTCATAAATTTGATTAGAGTTATTCCAGTAGATATATCTCTGAAATATTTTAAGAAAAATAGTTTAATTGTTCAGTTCAGTGGATATACATATCCGGAATTATAGGCGGTATTTGAAAAATTATTGTCACTTTTGCATGTCATGTATTTCCGGAAATGCATCTCCGAAAATATCTGATATAGCTTCCAGCTGCATGATCAGCCCTCCATTGTTGTCATACTTCATTCTTACCTAAACCCTCACCTTAAAAATCTTTCATTCTCAATCCATTTTTCACTTCAAATCTCCATTCTTTTGATTCACCATATCACAGGGAGAAAAAGAATATTGAATTTTAGGTAGAGATTCTTCTTTTACATATGCATTGCTCACGTTAATCATCCATTTTAGCTTTAAAAAGTTACGATGTGTCCGAAAATGTATCTCCAGAACGTGTATGAACTTGTTTGGAGATGCATTTTCAGAAAGTGTATGTGTTCTTTTTTCCAGCCATTTTGCAGCAGTACTTAAACAAATGTTGTGTTATTGTTTGTATTGTTTCCAGTAGATATGGTGCACCCCGATGTTTTCCCAAAACAAATGGTTTATCCGAACATTGTTTCTACAAATGTTCAAGGGATTGTTGTGAAGGTGGTAGATATTGGCTATGACTTTAATAACAAACAAGAGTTTGAATCTCATGATAAAATGCTTGAATGAATTTATATGGAGGCATCTAGACTTGGTAGTCGGTCATTCTATTGTATGTCGGCTCAAGCCAGAAAATAAAGAATGTATTAGTGACATGACTTTGAATCTTGTTCAGCCGAAAAACATACTTGCAACATTGAAACGGAAGCAACCGAACAATATATCAAATATCAAGCAAGTGTATAACATTTGGTACCTCACTAACAATGTGATTAGAAGGATAAAACTGAGATGCAACAACTCTTAAAACTGTTGGACGATAACAGTTATGTGTCCTGGTACCGAACGTGCGATGATGGAGTTACAGTTAGAGATATTTTTTGGACCCGTCCTGATTCGATAAAGTTTTTCAACACGCTTTTTACGGTGCTACTTACTTGATTCAACCTACAAGACCAACAAGTATCGACTTCCATTATTTGAGATGGTTGGTATTACCTCAAATGAGAAGACATGTTCTGTTGGTTTTGTATTTCTTGAGTGTGGAAAAAAAAAGGACAATTCTATTTGGGCATTAGAGGTGTATCGCTCACTTTTGAAGGATCAGGGTGAGATGCCTAAAGTGATCGTTACCCACCGTGACACCGCATTGATGAATTTGGTTTCTAAGATATTTCTTTCTTCTTATGCATAACTTTGTAAGTATCACATAACAAATAATGGAAGAAGTCGGGTAAAACCCACGGTAGGGACGAACCCAAAAGAGTTCAAAGGTGGAAAATTGGTGAAGGCGAGTGTGATTGTGGAAAAAATTGTGGATGCATGGAATCGTATGATAAATTCTTCCACAAAAGAACTATATGTTGATTTCGTTACTCATTTTTGGAAAGTGAGTGAAAAGTATCCAGATTTGTTGAAAGTACCATTCTTAATCAGGTGAAGGAAATGATAGTTTGTGCGAGGACTGATAATATTAAACACCTAGGAAATACAACTACTAACAGAGTTGAGTCGGTCCATGCTACTTTAAAAAATTGGTTGAGAAATAGCAAAGGGAATTTGTGTAGAGACTGGGACTCCATGAACCACATGATTTAGAACTAGCATAATGAGATACAAACAACATTTGGTCGGAGCATTACGGTTTTGGAACACCGATTTAAAGATAACATATTATATTCTCAGTTTGTCAGTAACATTTCTCGGGCAGGTTTGATCTATATTTTTCATGAGGCTAAACGGGCTGATAATGTAGGCTCCGATAGCGCAAAGTGTGGTTGCACTATTGGGAAAACATATGGTCTCCCGTGTGCTTGTACTATTGTTAAAAATGTGAAACATGGTGAACCAATAAGAATGGTTTGATCTCATTGGAAGAGACTTAGGTTTAATGAGGATGGATGCATGGATGACGGAAAATCAAATATCTTTATTTTGACCGAATGGGAAGTGATACAAGAGAGATTTTCGAAGGTCATTGACATCATGAAACTTCACATCAAAGAACTATTGAGGAAAATTGCATATCCTGAAACTACCAACATAAAACTGCCTTCTCAACCGGTAAAAACAAAAGGTGCTCCGAATGAAGCCTACACTGAATGACAACTCGACCACACAATCTCCTTCATATTTTGAACACATTGGTAAAGTTTTTCCCGACTCACCGACTCCAAAATCTCAAAAAAGTTAATGCTCAATTTCGCAAGTATACGAATAAAGTCAGAGTAATATAAAAGATTATCTATCTCACAAAGACCAAACGTCAATCTTTCGATTACTGTTGTTACGGTGTTTATCTAAGGCAAATCAATTGGGAATTGGTTCATGCAAAATAAAAGTAAAGTGTGAGAATAAATTTAATATTAAAATAATAGAATTGGATGTAATTCACATAGTTGGGTAGTATTCCAAGTGCGTATAAATAGAATGTCTTATGGGGTAGTGTTTTCTACTCGTGAAAAGAACTAATTTAACGGGAACTGTCGCTTTCGGGTATTCAAAACCGAGTTTATCCCCTAATCGATCCCTCTTATTGTCACTTATAAAAAGGTGTGCATTGCGTTAGAGTGATTAAACCTATTTTTAAGAAATATAGTTTCCTGACTTAGTTGAAAAGTATTTTAACCTGGAATTTCTAACAAAAAGAGGTTCATACGAACTGGACTTTAAATCCATAAACGCGTTCGAAAATAATTTTAAAATAGTTTTTCTAAAGAATTAAAGATTCCTACTTAACTGGACCAAGCGCTTTCACTTCCTTTGAACAGTTAAGACTAACCAAGTTTATCTAAAGGTTGGACGGCTTTCGATCTTACCCAACAGATTTTAAGTGCAAAAAAATGTGTTAAAAGTCAGAATAACCCCTAAGTGATTCTATCGACAGTCGTATGGAATACCACTTTAACTATGATCCTCACATCCTAACCTCTAAGATTTATCCGGACATGGAAATGTAAATAGACATGGTAAATAAATGCGAGTAAATAAAGTGCGATAAATAAAATGCGAGTAAATAAAGTGCGATAAATAAAGTGCGATAAATAAATAGTGCGATAAATAAATGCGGAATATAAATAGAAACCTACTCTAAACGGGAGGTTTTAAATCTGGTACAACTTAAAGTAAAAGACTGTAAATAAAATGGCGGCAGGATTAACTTCTGCCAAGGTACTCCAAACCTGATTACAGACTCAATTAGACAATGTGATAACTACTCGATGTGAGGAGTTTATTACTTTACAACAGATGGAAATTTGTGGCTTGAGTTTTGTAAATAAGCTTGGATGCTTAGAAATGAGGCAAAACTCTTCTACTTATAGTGATAGGAAAGTACAGGTAAGGACTAGATTGCCCCCCAACTTCTTTTGGGAGGGAAAATAGAATGCAAGGGTGGCGCCCGCCATACCCTCATGGCGCCCACCATGTGTACTAGAGTAGAAAGAAGTGGGAGATGTGGCAGTTGTCAAAAGTTGGTCTCTTATCCAAGTTATGGCACCCCCTATGGCGCCCGCCATGTGTACAATTCCTAAAAAGCTGGTCTTTTTGCTCGTTTTTTCTTCATTTCTTCTCGAGGAGCTCTGGAATTACAAAATCCTGAAAATGAAACAAAAGCATAATACAAGAAAACAGAAATAAAATCCTAAAGAACACGTGCAAATCGAGTCAAATATATAGTATATTTTAGGTCTATCAAATTCTCTCACACTTAAGCCTTTGTTTGTCCTCAAGCAAAACATTATGACAAAAAAAGGTGATATCCATAAATGATTTGGGCAAAAAGGACTTATAAGTTCAAGTTAGGATGAAGTGATGGGTATTAACTCAGTGAACCACGGTTATCAAAATGACAATTCTCCGTAAACACGGACATAGGATTCGTTTTTATATAAACCAATCCATATTACCCCACCGTACCTAGGCCTACTTTAAAATCTCCTTTTGGGCCCTTTTCATTCAGGTGCAATCACATTAAGCCTGTTATCCATACATACTCATAGTGAAGTGACCGGTTAGTGATTCTGATCTGAAGTATGGGGCTCTGGTACATAGGCTGGTGTAACCCCTTTTATTGACCCAATTGTAGTTGTGGGGGATCGGATCGTAACCTGCCCTGCCGAGTTCAGCACCAGACACCTCTGAACCAACTAACAATGGGAAAATATTTTATTTTGTTTTGTTTTGTTATTATTATTATTATTTCGAAATTTTTACAACTTTTTGGGTTAAATGACCTTGTGAGGGTTACCTATACCCGAGTTACAATTTTATTGAACATACAGATCATTCACTTATATTCATCGGTCCTTCACTTAGGTCATGCTTTGGCCGGAGTTGACTGCTAGGATAAACTACTAAGGACTTACTACGAACATTATCATTAAGGCCATGGTACATAGGGTATCGGGATCAATTTCTACATTCGCGAAGCCTAAGGTGTTACAATGATACTGATGTTTCAAAAAAAAAATCAAATCATCTGCATCCTAACTCGAATTTGCCTCAAAGGCTAAAAAATTTCAG